GGCCAGCAGTTATCAGTTTCTCAACCAGAAATAATTTAATATTTCATTACGGCTGTTTTCATTCACAGTAGACTTTTACTGTTTAACTCCTCGTTAAAAGGCACAGCAGCATGACACATTTCAAAAGTGAAGGGCCTCTGCAACATTAAACGTGGCTATCATCACTCTGGGAAATTGACGCCAGCGCAGGCAAGGCCAACACTAACGTAAGCAAGCATCCCGTAGGAAAAGGAAAAGATGCTGCTTCCTCTGATATGGTACATGAAGGTGATGATTAAGCATCCACAACCTAAAGCTACCAAGGGCTCAGAAGAGCTGTTTGTTCATGTATGTATCACATTACAATCCACAGCTCACAAAATGACCCAAAGAAACAACCCCAGGGAAGAAGGCACAGGAAAATGGAAACATATAATCCATCCTCTGATATTAGCAACTACTGTGCTACAACCACTTCCAGCAGAAGCTGTCTAGCATCAAGGCTATCAGAAACCTGACTTTCAGAGAAATAACAAAAAACGAGAAGAGGTGCAGCCAACAAACCAAGCTTTATTGTCACATGCCTGTGGCCCTAAGGGCCTCGTGTCAGGAAGCAAAGTTAATAAAAAGGCAGCCAGCTGTCTTGCAGTTTATTTTTTTTAATCCTCGAAATGGTCAGCAAAGTGATGTGCACATGTGGCATGTCTCATTAATACCCATCATATGTGTATTCGTGCATCACACAGACTAGAGAGAGATCTAACTCTGCCATATGCCTGTTCTTCTTTTTAGACTGTGGGTACTACATACATACATTCATGCATGCTAATATTCTTCCACACGATAGATCTGATAATCACTATCCTTAAAAACTGCTCTAAGGACACTATGTAAGAAATAGGTAGTTATATATATTTACCTTCCTACTTCTCTTGTCAGTGTCTACACTTCCCTAATTTTCAGCAATTTCTCTTATTTACATTAACTGTGTGTCTTTGGGGTTTTTGCCTCCTCTGCCATGACAAAAAGATGACACTGCAAACGAGGGAAGAAAAATCTTGTTCGTTACTGAAGACAAAATGTTTTGAAGACCCAAAAATGACAGATAAGCAATCTTAGTCTAGTTTAAACATTATGGACTGAGAAAGCCTTATCAAAAGAACACAGAAAAGAGGAAGAGTTACGAAAAATTGAGGAATGTAAGAAAAACAAAACCAAAAATGAACTGTACGTAACCCCAGATATACTAAGAAGTGACAGATATAAATTATTCCCAAATGAAATGATGGAATTTTTGTTCTATTTAGAACAAAACATTAATTTCTGTGCAGCTATTAAATAGCTATACTTAGCAACAGATCATGGGATCGCTCAGTCTTTAAAAAGTATTTTTAAATACTATCAATTGCTCCAGAGAAAGTAAAAAAGACTATATTGCAAAAGCCTTATTTTCTAAGAAAGCGATAGTAAAAATAGATTTTGATTAGTATGTAAGACCAAAAGGAAAGCAGATGAACTCTTCAGAATATCAAAATGCCCACGAGAAGAATCTCCTGCAGAGCTACTTTTAGCGAGTAAGGGAGTAAGTCAAGGGAGTAAGTCAGACTAAGCTCTTTTTATTTGTAGGAACTGGGTTATAGTTTCATTTGCTTTTTTTTTTTTAAGTAGAAACCCTCTGTGGTAGGAAAGGGTATTCCATATCTTTACAAAAATCCACTTGATTAGTAAGTCCCATGAGAAGATTATGAAGTCCCTAGAACGTAGGACTATTCAAAAAGAGGCATTCCCTGCTTCCAGAACATCTACTTCATTTCCAAAACTCATAACGGCTTACAGGAAATTTCTCAGACACCATAACATCCCTAATCATACCAGTATGGATAAGCTCATAACAATATTGGTTTCAGGATCAGAAGGTTAACCTGATGAGCTCCTTAGTACGGACAAGAACAGTGATACATTGAAGACTAATTTCTTTACCATCATGGTTTTGTTTGAAGCTGCCACGTAATTAAATGGAATCCAACCCACAAAGCAGTAACTTGAGTATGTATTTCCTTCATCTATAAAATTGACGGTATTGTTTCTCAAACACTCAGTGCACCCTGACTTAACATACAGGTAGGGTACACACACAACATATGGTTGCTTTGAAAGACTTGCAAAAAAGGGAAGAGTTTCAGGGGTTATTTTTTCTTCTTTTTCTTGCCCTTTCCCCTCCAACTGTGTCCCCCGATTCCTGAAAAATCTGATGTGGTCACTTCATGTGAAAGCCTTCCTAGCAGGAGACAGCACTCCATAGCTCTCTAGAACCACATCTTCATGAGGAGGCAAACCTTATTGTCCACAGGGGAAAAACACACTCATAGGAATCACATGCATGTGCATCCACACACACAGAAGGATGAGAAGGAAAAAAAAGGATGAACAAATATAAAAGAGAGATAATGTTCGTACCCGGGTAAGGTCCATGCCAAGTTTGAGCTGAGAGATGAGATGGAGAATTACACTACGTTGATCATCCATGACTCCTAAATCCTCCTCTTCATTATCTTCAGTGTCTGTCATTTCATCTTCAACTAGGATCAACTCAGAAGCTGAATGCTGAAATGAAAAGAAACATCACCATCTGGACAAAAAGATACAGTATGGGTTTTTTCCACTATATATGTTTAAAAATGGAGCTCTCTCAACGGAACCAAAGACAGCCTCTGTTAAAACCAAGAAGAAATACAAATTGAAAATAAAAAAAATCCCATGATGGGTTCATAGAGAGAATTTTGATTCTATGCTCAGAGCAAGAGTGGTAAGTATGACATGCTAATTTACACATTATCTTCTCATATTTATATTGCAGTGATGCCAGACAAAAATGACAGCATATTAAAGTAACAGGTCTTCTATTTATTAAAGAGAAGTATGAAGTTGAAAATTAGTCTTCAAGAGTTTGTTTCATAAATCTCTCCAGCAAATACTCATACTTCACACAGAGATGTTGCGTGACCTGATTTCACGCTATTTTTCTCCTTTGCTCTATCCAACTTCCAAGATAAGATACCTAAGAAAGTCAAGACTATTAACTGAAGGAGATAAAAAGACGACTATAATTACACACCTTTGGAAAAAACACAAGGATATTAGATTTTGGAAGGTAAGGCGATGCCATGAGTCTTTATGACATTTGCATCATTACACTGCTTCACAGCATAGTAATGCAAATACTGTCCAGTTTCCAGATACACTACATCAAGAGAGAGACATCATGCTGTCTCTTTTCAAGAGGAACTTTACAGCAGAAAGGGATAACAATTTGTGATACTTTATTTTCCCTCAGGGTTTACAATATATTACTAACAATAATCCAAACAGGTAGCAGTTATTCTGTTCAGTCCATGGAAACCACTCTACAAGCCTTCCAGATATATATTCAGGTAAGTTTTTTGTATTTTTAAAGTCGGGTTATACAGCTGAAAAATTTACTGCCCAGAATTTCATTATTCCCCAAGGTTTCTATGCTGTAAATGAGACAACACTACTTGCAAAAGTTAGCATTCCTTTACACTAAATAGCATTTTTGCAGAAATAGCTAGTTCATTACATAAAATGAGAAATTTTTTATCTCACTGTGCAAGTCTATGCAACTGAAAAGTTTCATTAAAGCCAGCTGATATTCAGAATTAGGTTTCAAAGAAATATTTCTGAATGATCGTATTAGAGACCCCTCAGGTGAACAGCAGCTTGTGTAAGGAGAGTGTCTCTGAAATTTATTTACTACAGATGTTTCCAAGATTCAAGTAATGTATTTTCTTTCTCTCTCCTTTTTTTTTTTTTTTTTTTCTTAATTAAATAAGCGTTTAGGTAGCTATTCCCAAAAGAATAGCTATTTGGTGAAATCCAAGGACATGTGAAAGACACTTTACAACTACTTTATTTAGAAAGTAGAATACGTGGATTACATAAAACAGAATCGGGTGAGCTGTAACCTCAACAGCTTGCAGCTTTTTGAAAGGACAAAACCACATTATTCTTCCTACTCCCTCAGAAAATAAAAGGATAGAGCAATAAGTCCTTTCCTCCCAAAATGCAGAGCATTATTACCCAACTGACACCTTACTGACAAGTTCAATTTACATAAAACCTGACCACCTCATACAAAATTATCAGTCAGGGAGACATACAGCACCGAAGCCTGGCTCAGTTGTACAGGCTATGATTCATTTGGAGGGAGCGTGGAAAAAGCAGTATCAGAACTTACAGTAGATGCTTCCACAGGAGGTTTCCCTTTGATCCAGCTTGACCTCATTGAGAGCACTGAGCTACCAAATAAGCTCTGCTGCTTCTGTTACTGCCATGAACCGACCTCGCGGCAAACAAGCTCCAGCAGGAAAAAAAAGCAAGGGAACCCCCCCTCCTCCCTCCCTCCCCCGCTTTTTTTTTTTTGGCTATCCGACGAGTTGGAGAGTGTGCATCGGATGTCAATCTGTTCCTTGCGTTTCTAGTCACGTGGCACTGAGATCAGTGAGATTAACTGCACACAGCTCCAACTGGGAAACGGTGCTGCTGTTTCCCAAAGGAGATCCTGGTGGGCTGTCCTTCAGGTGGGGGGCAGGAGGGAGGGGGCACGAGTGTGCATGAGCGTGAGAGAGAGAGAAAACACGCTAGCAAATAACAAGCTTTCAAGTGAACATATAACAGCTGCATAACCTTTAGTTGTTAACAGCATCAGAAAATAAACAAATTACGCATCAACCAGTTCATAGACTAAATCATATATAAAGAATTTTCTTTTTCTCCTGAAGATTGGACATTCAGCCAGGGATAGAAATCCATCTTTCTTGCCTGCTAAAATAGGTATTAGGTTTTCTACGCCTTCCAAAGAGTTACTAACAAAATAGCAACTGCCGCTCATTGCTACTCTACGAAAAGTGCACACTGAGGGCAAGCAACCCTACAAACAGCTCAGGAAAGTAGTGTTTGCCTTGTTTTAAATCAAAGACTTCCTGCTCATCAGGGAGGATGAGTACAACATAATGTTAGGATCAAGCGTGTTTAATGACCACTCTGCAATAAGGACTGTAATTTTAATTACCTCAATTGTCCCCTATTTTAAGAATATGTGCAAGGGGCACCAGAAGTCTCACAACTCTACTACTAGAGTTATCAACATACTAGTGACTTTCAGTGCATGTAGATGACAGCGGCTGTCTGCATCTTTGCTACTTCAGTTCTTATTTTCTTGGGAAGTGAGGAGTTTACATTTTCTGACAGGAACTCAACAGCAGTCATCTTCAGTAAGCAATATCCCTTCTGTATTTCCCTCTCATTAGCTGTTCTACGTAATCACTGAATTACTTTTTAAAAGCACAGAAAACAGACATTTCTTTTTTAAGTAATGCATATTTTCTTTAAAAAAAACCCACCGTATAAGCATAACATAAAGTGCGTGGACATACAGTCACAAAATACAAAGTGTCATGAAAGTCCAATCAAGGTTTTAATTCTTTTTGTTTCCACAGAAATAGCATGCCGTTTAGTAGTAACCGAAGTGTAAGCATGCAGCAGCATGCAAAAGATTATGTTGTGTGATTATCTTGTAATAGCAGCTTTTCTGAATTATCAGATACAGACATACATTATTACTTTTTCCCCTCTGTAAAATATAATTGCAAAGCTATTGAGCTGTGCGCAGCTCAGCCTGGAAATGAACAGCACAGCTAGGCTTGGGTGCTAACCCTGAGAATCAAACACTGAACCAGTTACAAACAAGCACCAAAAAGGGGCTTATAATTAAAATCACTTTAATCAAAATGAGTTTCCAACACTGGACTGAAGCACCAGGATTTTTCAGAAAAACAAAACAAAACTGGAAAACAATAGATCATTTCTAAAAATGCTATGAAGGGATTCACTTCAAAGTTTAAAGGCAGAAGACACGAAAACACACACTGGCAGAGACCTATTTAAACAGGTCACTTAATTAGACTGAGATCAATTAATTTAGAGAGGTCATCTGCTGGGATATTAAGCAGGTGTTCTAGTCAGCGGTCTTCACCAGAAAACATGCCAATTTTTTTTTTTAACTGATGAAACCTGTAAGGGAAAGAAATTGTTTCCGAAGGAAACGTTCTGCATTTAAAAAAAACGCCTTCAGGAAAAAGACACTTCTACAAGCCTGAGGTAGAATTGCGGAGTTAAAAGCTGTGTTTCTGTCAAAGGGCAAACCTGCCTCTGTTCTTCCAAAGCCTCTTCCACAAGTTCATTTTTCAAATGAACTGCTGTGCTGCAAATTAATTTTTAGATAATTAGTTCAGAGCTTGGTTTTCGAACACACTTCACAACCATGCAACAGTACTGTCAAGCATGACACAGATCTCATCTGGTTTATTTGTTGGCACGGAGGGAGAAGAATATACAGAATCTCAGTATCATTTAGGTTGCAATTGGCCTCTTGAGATCATCTTGTCCCACACTCTGCTCAAGCAGAGACAACTAAAACCAGTTGGCGAGGACCGAGTCCTGCTAAGTTTCAAATAATCTCCAAGGATGGAGACTCCACGATCTCTCCGGGCAACCTGTACCAGTGTTTGATGACCGTCACAGTGAAAAAGCGCTGTCTGACGTTCAGATTGACTTTCATGTGCCCATCACCTCTTGCCCTGTCACTGGGCACTACTGAGAAGAAGCTGGCTCCTTGTTCTTCACTCCCTCCCATAAGGTATTTATACATATTGGTGGGCTTCCCTGAACCTTCTCTCCTCCAGGCTGAACAGTCCCAGCTCTCTCAGTCTCTCCTCATGTGAAGGATGCTCCAGAACCTTCATCATCTTTGTGGATCTATGCTGGACTCACTCTAGTAAGTTCATGGTGCTCGTGCACTGGGGAGCCCAGAACTGCACACAGCACCGCAGACGTGGCCTCACCTGTGTCAAGTAGAGGGGAAGGGTCCTGACCCGCTGGCAACACTCTTCCTAAAACAGCCCAGGATGCTCTTGGCCCTCTTTGCCACAAGAGTGCCTTGCTGGCTCACGGTCAGCTTGTTGTCCACCAGGACCCCAAGGTCTTCTCTGCAGAACTGCTTTCCAGGCAATTGGCCCCCAGCCTGTACTGCTGCAGGAGTGACAATTGCTTTCTTCCAGTCTTCATGAACCTCTCTCAAACACCATGACCCTTTAAAGACAATAGATGGTGGCCTTGCAATGACATTGGCCAACTCCATCCATGCTCATAGGCGTATCCCATCAGGCCTCATGGAGTTATGTATGTGCAGCTTAAGTGCTGCCTAACCTGGTGGTCCTCCACCAAGGGTAAGTCTTCCTCCAGACTTTCCCTCTGATTTCAGAGACCTGGGATTCCCGAAGGTTGATGTCACTAGTAAATACTGAGGCAAAGAAGGCATTGAGTAACTCAGCCTTTTCTCCATCACGGTAACAAGCAGAGATCATATGTATCCTGACATGGACACACTGAGGACTTGTATAGGATTCATAAGGCAATTCGTCATATAATTACACCAAAATATTCTAAGAATTTTCATTAGGGCATGAAAAAGTTTTTACGTAGTACAAAAAGGACTGTAGTCAGGAGCAAGAGGATGAATCTTAGGA